AAAGAGAGCGCATAACTTACTTTCAGCCTTCATTATCGATATGAAGCAACTATCAAATAAAGCTTCCATCTCCTCCTTAGAAAGTTCTTTGGTATTCGTAAACAAATTGAACTGCTGTTTGATTTTCGGAACTGCCGGAAGTGGTGCTGCTGTCTCAAATAAGAAGGATAAATATACAATTCAGAAAAAAACATTTGCGCAAAGCTCACCGGTCCGGGCAGTGCTCCTATGGGAACTAACGGTGGTTTCTGCTTCTGATGGCCACCTAAGTGTACAGCTGGTGTGGGCGGAACAAATGCACCGTCTCGTCGCGCAGATTGTCTCTCTAAAAATGCGACAATAAGCATGTACAAGCAACAAGAAAGGGAGATAAGAAAGTGTAAAAAAGAATTGAAAGGGCATGAAAGTATGGAAAAAGGGCAAAAAGTTTAGAGAACACAAGAACGATTAAAACTATCGGAACCAAACCATACCCATGAACTTCGCCAATTTCTCCTTCCGCATCTGCTCAGCACCGGGACCCAGTTCTTGAGCGGTAGCTTGAGTAGCCATACTTCGAGCTAGATGCCGACGATGTTGCTGCATACAAACATCAGCATAAAAGGAAATTCGGATGATTACAATAATCTACCTCTGTTCCAGCAGTCGCGATTTGTGTAAAACTCGAAGCAAAGGCTGCCGGCATTTCGTCAGGCAGGGTTACCTATGAAACCCTTCCAAAACCGAGTCAGGTAAGATAAAGAATTCCCAACCTACCAAAGAAATAAGCACGAGATTAGCTACAAGCTTAGGATTCAGTCGTTCATAGATCCACTCTGCTGTAATATCTATCGCTGACTGATGAGCAGAATCTGGGATCGCTGCTGATGTATCCGAAGTAGAGGGCTCATCATCTTGATACTCGTCATCATCCAAAACAACTGAAAAACATAACTTAGTGAGCATTTTCCCGTCAACCTATTTGGTTGCTGTGCAAATGAAAACGACTTGTTGTACAGAAACGATTCGGCATAGTGTATAATAGCCCAAAAT